GAGGTCCAACAGGAAGCTGAAGTCCCTGAGAAAGCGGCGGAGCTCAGCGAACTCGAGCTCAGCGGCGCGGAGGCACCGATTCGGAATGTAAATACCGAAAGGGGAGATGACGAAGCCTCGGCGATCGATGAGACCAGCGACACCCAGCTTCCGGAAGAACCGAAGCTGAGCGCGCGCATACCCGCCGACGAAGAGGTGATGGAGCTGAAGGAGAGCATCAAGCGAACCGAGGAGGAAGACAAAGAGGAGAAAGAGAAGATGGCGGCCATCCAAAACAAGCTCAAGAACATGCAGGCCCATTCCTTCAAGGAGCGGCTGGAGGTGGGCAGTCTCGTCGCCAAGGAGCTCTCCTCCTCCATCTTCTACGGCTTGCGGGATTCGCTTCGGGTCAAGCACGCCACCATCTCCATCCAGGTACCAGAATTCTCCTCTCGCCTTCCCGCGTCTTCGCATTCTCCTTACGCTTGTGTGTTGACGCGCGCCACAGAAATCCAATAGGGTCTACAACCACATCATCGACACTCTCATCTTGAACGGACCGCTGCTCCTCTTCATGTACATTCTTTTTAAATACCTCTTCGAGCCCCACTTCCACTCCATGCTCAACTTCAAGGAGCACTCCGGCTTCACGCTCGTGCTTGTACAAATTATGGAGTTCCTACTCAAGGCCTCCTTCTTGGTACGCAGCGCATCCGCGCTTCTCCCTCGCTTGCTCCTTCTCGTACTGCGACGCTCATCGTCATCATCTCTTTTCGTCTTGCCGTAGGTTCTGTGGGTGGGTCCGATCTACGTCCTGTCCGTGGTGCTGAACATGCAATGGTCGCAAGAAGTCGGCAACGGAGCATTCTCCCTTTATCTCTACATCAGACGGGGTAAGACCGTTCAGAAGGCCTCCAAACCGTACGCTCGTCTTCCTTCCCGCCCTTATGCACTCCGCATGGCTTACTCTTATTACGCAACGCGCGTGCCACACGCGAGCAGACTGTCGGACACGATTGCTCAGATCATCTACTGGCAAGTCATCTTCGGCGTCTTCAACTTGCTCAACTTCCTCTGTAAATTCGTTCCGATTGGTACGGTGACTTCGGTTGCTGTTTGAGTGCACCAGTTCTGCAAGAGAGTGCGACAACTCACTTGACTCCAACAACTCATAGTTGGGCCGCCCTTCTACTTCATTTGCCTGTGCTGGCTCAACGCCGTCTACTGTTTCGACTACAAGTGGGGCAATCAGGTAAGTACTCCGCCCTCTATTCTCCCGCCAATGATCATCGTTGCCCTTCGTGACCGACTCTCCGGTACGCCTATACGCAGAAATGGAGCCTGCACAAGAAGATAAGCTATTGCGAAACGCGTTGGCTCTACTTCATCGGTTTCGGTACGGCCGCGGTCCCTTTGGGCGCAACTGGGTTACTGCTAATGTTCATGGCTCTCTCCCTTGTTCCTTCCATTACGCCGTACACAGGGCTGCCGATCACGTTGGCCACCTTCTTCTTCGAGTACATTATCAGCTACTCGCTTGTGTCGTTGCTGTTCCCTATGGTGCTACTCTCTTCTTCACTCCCTACATCTCTTGCCGACCGTGCTTCGTCTTCATCACCAAGCTTCAAGCTAAACAGCTAACGGTCCGCGCTTTCGTTTTTTAGTTCATTCCGATGGCCATGTATGGGTCACCCAAGACGCAGAGCCTCTGGAAACCGATCCCAATGTCGAGGTTCCTCGACAGCAGCATCATCGCGCCGCTCATCCGGTTCATCTTCACCCTGCCCTCGCAGGTCGAGAAGCTCGAGCAGAAGGCCGACACCATCGTGCGCTTCCTGGCCATTGCCGTCTGCTCCTCCGTCGTTCTCGGCGTCGTGACCTACCTCCTCCACTATCTCGTCTACTGAGAGCTCAGCTCAGCTCCGCTCTGTTCTGACGCACATGCAACAAGCGCATGCGTGTGTTTCGGTCGATCGACTTGCTCTGAAAATACAACCGAACCAACAACAACAACGACGAAGAAGAAGGTTTAGGCGCTCTATCGTGTGGCCTGATGGTTGGTTACGGGCCAGAGCGCGAAAGGGAAAAAGGGAAAACCCTAAAGAGGGACTGCCGTGTGACCCTGTAACGAGGACTGGGCCTTTTGGCGCCAGCACGGACACGCCGGAGAATGGTAGGGCCGCGCTAGTTTGGAGAGGGAGCTCCCTCTCAACACTGCGAAAGCGAACGCAAACCAAGTTTGTGCTTTGAGGAGAGTGCCTGGTTACAGTACTATGAATACACTCGCCTCAGAGACTGAAGACGTCGGTCATGTTGTGCAGCAACCGCGCTTCAAAGTGGGTGGAGCGAGCGTTCTTCTGGTGCAGGCGGACCGCTGTTTCCAAGTCGGCGCTGTAACTTTTACCATTTTGGAGCAGAGAGGCGGAAGACCGAGCCGCGTAGCACGAGTGGCGAGTAGAGAAAAAAGAACGGGCGAGAGAGGGCAGAGAGGCAGAGTAAAGCGGCAGTGGATAGGTGGAGAGCAACGAGCTGCAAACGAGTCGAACTTCAAACAGTGTGCCTTCAACCAACTTCAAACTTCCAACACATTCTGTAGCAGATCGGCAGACTTCCAGGCATCCGAATCCTCACTGCCCCAGCCAACTACTAGCCCTCTCGCAGCTCTGTTCACTTCCTTTGGTCGCTTGCCCCACCAAGGACTGCGAAGCGCACTACACTCAGCCCGGCATCCGCCCGCTCTGCGCCCTCCGCACTACCACTACTACGCGCAACCCCGCGGCCTTTTTCTTGAAGGCAACAAGAAGAGGGCCCGCACTGCTCGGCCGGCCCCTTCATGGCGGAGCACGTCCAGGCTCGCAAGAAGCACGGCGAAGAGATCGTGATCTGGTACGTCGCTTCCTGACCCTGAGATCTTCTTGTAGACCACGTGGGAGCGATCCCACCACCCGGCCCGCCACAAGCTGGGAAAGGAGACAAGAACTGACCTCAGCCCACCACCCGCCACCCCACCCGGTCCCCAACCCTCATCTGTCGCTGCCTGGGCAACCTGTCAAAAGGTTGAAGGAGAACTATGAGCTGGAGGAAACCACTGGCTGCATTAGCAAGGTGCGTGCCCCCTTCACCTGCATCCGCCTCCCCATCCGGCCTCTCGATCCATATCTCTGGTTTCCTACCCGATAGGCCTCAGTCTATCACGACTACTTGGTCATGTGCCACAACGACCGCCTGCAGCCCACCACCGGTACGCCATCATACCTACCAACTGGGAGAAGTAGTTGACGTCTGGTCTAGCCTCACTTGGTCGCTCCTTCACGGTAACCTGGTGTTCGCGAACGTGATCACCAGGCCCTGCTTTTGGCAAACTCGTACGGAGGGCCTTCCCCTCGGTGGCATCTAACCGACGAGGGCCGAGAGGCCACGCGCTGCACATGTACTCCGGACTGCGAAAGCGAGCGATCCCCATACAATTGGGTCCCGAAGACGACTCCGGCGATCTGATGTCACCCTCCAGCCCCCCCTCGCACTCCTTCGCTGCAGTCACGTCCTCGACCTCGAGCGGCTTCACGATGCCGGTGTTGGTGAGTCCTGATTTGTCCAGTCCCGGGCTAACTAGCCCACGGATGGCCCAACACCATCACCTCTTAGAAGGGGAGGTGCGCCGACAGCAACAAGTGCCTCAGCCCCATCCTCATCTCCACTACGGTGTACCAACTCATCATCGTCAGCAGTACGGGAGCGAGCTCCCCACGTTCTCGTCGCCAACGATGCCACCTCAGCGCTTGGGCGCGCCTTCGTGGATGACGAGCTTGGCCAGGGCTGAGCACTCCAGCGATGACGGCAGCTGGCGGCTCTCCAACCCGGCCATCGAGCCCGACCTCCCTCACCCTTCCAACCGCTTCGCATTCATTCCGCCCCGCGCTACGTTCGAGAGCATCGCTGAGTGGGCCACGGCCAGGTACACCCCGAGCTCCTCGCAGTTCCGCGGTGGCTCTCGAAGAAGAGCGCAGGCAGCTGACGTCTGACAACAAACTGTTCGCCCTCGCAGGGTGGAGGAGAGGGTGGAAAAAGGAGACAGCTCGGAGGAGATGACCAGCGTAGGCAGCGATTCGATGGAAGAAGCCACGTCGAGCCAATCCTCGACGGGGCCTGGCATAACCGCGTGTCGTCCGTGTTTCCCACCAGGCAGCACGGCATCAACAACAGCGGCCAGATGCATCTACAGCAGCAGCAAGTACCCACTCAGCGAACCTCCTCCACAGCTCCTCGAATCCAGCAGTCCCTGTCGGCCGAGTTCTATCCGATCCCCGCCACGGCCCACTTCATCCATCACCAGCCACCGCCTTTCTCCTTCTCCGCGTCGCACACGCCAGTGTCCGTGGTCGGGTCTCCGCAGACCAACCGCCGCCCGCCGCCTCGTCCGCGGTCGGCTTCGGGAGTTGACGCTGGCTTCCACCCCTCGGTGGGCTACCAGCACAGCGGGGGCTGGGATGTGTACAGCCCAACAGCTGACCCTGCGGCCCCGGCGGCGGCAATGTCGTCTTCGCCGCCGAACTTCCCCCACAACGGCTTTCAGGTAACAGCGGCGAGCCCGCTTTCGGCCGTGCGCACGGCGCCCTTCGAGGAGAAGCCCAGCCCCAGCAACAGCAACACCGGCAATAGGGGAGCTGCGGCCTCGGCCGGCCGCACTCCCTTCCACGCAGTACCGCAAACAGCGCCGCGCACACATGTAGCTGCGACACTGGTACGCGAACGCCAGCTCAACACCCCCATCAATTTTGATCAAGAGGTCTCGCCCGACGTAAACGACGCGCCTCACTACTCCGAAGGTTCACCCACCCACCCACATCGCCATAGCCCAAGTGCGCTTGCTGATTTGCTTTTTTTTTCTTGATGTAACAGTGGCCGCCCTCACTTCCATGTGCCGGTTCTACTATGCGAACCTGTTCAAGAACGTGCTGGCGTGCAACTTGGAGGGACTGCAGCTCGACATCGACCGGTTCTGGGAGTACGTGGGGAAACACTTTTTGGTACGTCATATTGGTGGGCGTCGCATGGCTCTGTCTGTTTTAGCCTGACCCTTGAGTGCCGCCCTGTAGGGTCTCTTCTTCTACGAGTCTGTGTGCCATCGACTGCTGCAGATTGAGAAGAGTGTCCTCCACGAGGTCAGCGGTACGGACTCAGAGTCTTGCGTTCATCTCCTGCCCCCGTCCCAGAAGAATGCTCAATGAACTCACACAGATGCGTTGATGGTCCATCCGATCGAGCAGCGAGCCATGTACATGCATCAGGTGGCGGTACTCCTTCCCACCTGGCTCTGCCGAAGGAAGGCCCTCCTGCCCGCCCCGCTCTTCGCCTCTCTTCACCAGGTAGGGCCGTCGCCGCACCCAGCCCCAATCGGTTGACAATCGGCTCTGACCAGCTTCGTTTGACCTTTCTATCGCCATTGCAGATCGTGAGCGACTTTGCAGTGCAGCTATACGCACAGGCTAAGCACCTGCAGACGCTCGCGGGCCACAATTCTCGACCGGCGCAGTAGACAGACATCCCCACCACATATAGATTCCTCTCCCCGACGACCCATCCCTCTCTTCCCCTCACCCCGACGACCCCCTCTTGTTATTGAGTTCTGTTCTTCCGCTTCGTCTTCATTCTCCTTGTAGTTGTGAAAAGAACGAATTGTATTCTGCAAGAACTGAACCCGCGCCTCTCTCTTGGAGGTGGTAGGTGCGGCGGCGCTGTGCTCAGTGTGATCGGTGTGATCGGCCTTCGAGATGGGAAGACGACTTTGATTTGGATCACTGAACGGTTCACCCGGTGAGCCACAACACCACCCCGCGAGTTGTCATTGGGCGCAGGTCCAACCGAACTCTGCGCTATTGGTCGGGAGAGCGAACACCAGCTCGCGCCACCTGCTTTAAAGAACCGCTGTAGCAGAGTGGCCATCTTACTTCATCAGCTCTCTCGTCTTCACACCCCACATACCACACCATAACCACAACATTTCTCTGCAAGCATGAAGCTGTCCATCTTGTTGCTGCTCGTGTGCGCCCTTCTTGCTCTCGCCGTCGTCAGTGCTCACGGTACGACCAGCCTTAACCGCCACCAAGAGACCACTTGAGCCTAATGGTGGTGTGCGGGCAGCTGAATCGGGCAACCGCGGCGGTGGAGGCGACTCTGCCGGCGGGCGGCGCGAAGAGGGCGAAGCTCGCGGATATAGGGGCGAAGACGACGACAAGAAGAAGAGACCTCATGATGACTGCACCACCACCACTAAGAAGCCCGAGTGCACCACAACTACGAAGAAGCATGACTGCACCACCACCACCACCAAGAAGAACGACTGCACCACCGAGAAGCCGCCCAAGCCCTGCGACGAAGATAAGGAGGAGAAGGAGTACTACTGGAAGTGCGTCAAGGTGTGCCCCTAGAAGAAGCACCACGACCAGAAGGTGAAAGAGGCCGACAACTAAGCTGTCCCTCCTCCTCCGATAATCAACCCTGAATATTTGAGAGAATAGCATCTCCTATGATCATATTACTGCCGCGACCAAGGGTTAGTCCCCCTGTGTGTGTGTGGTGCATGTGTGTGTGTGTGCGTGTGTGGTGCGTGTGCGACGTACGTTCACATGTGCCCAACGCCGAGGAGTGCGATGGAGCTGGCAGAGAAGATGCCGCCGTTGGCGTAGACCAGCGCACGCTTCGCGTTTCGCACCTGTCGGCTGCCCGCCCGTCCACGCAGCTGCTCCACAGCTTCAATCACATTGTACATCGCCGGCGCCTGTCCGAAATGTCCAGTTAATAATAAAATAATAAGTAGTTAAATCATATAATAACAATAATAACAATAAATCAGACGACACGCACCTCCCAAGGTGCGCCAAAGGCCAGCAGACCGCCGTGGGTGTTGACTGGAAAATTGTTGGGGTCTCGGTTGTCGTTGCCGCCCTTGTCTTCGATCTCCTTCAAGAGCTGGTAGTACTTCTGTTCGACCCACGCACCACCCTCGCCTGCGTACGCCCCCGCCAAACACGCGGGTGTGAGGGTCGAGTCTCGAGCGCGGGGGTGCGCTGAGCGAAGAACGAATGAGAGGTGGTCGCACCCTTCTTGGCCAAGCCGACGGCTTCGATGGCGCGGATGAAGCAGATGGGGAAACAATCGTACAGCCCAAAGAAGTCGATGTCGTTGGGTCCGATCTGCGCCTCGTTGAACGCTGTCGGTACACCAAAGACTCGAGTCAGGAAATGCGTGGCCACGCACCACCGCACACGCACACTCGCACACCTGCACACGCACACACGACCTTGAAGGCGGCGGGGGAGTACCGAGCTCGGCGGCGATGTCGGCGGTGAACATGTCCTCGTCGATGACGGGCGGAGGGTAGAGCGGGCCGCTGCCCTCGCCTCCGCCCAAGACCACCACGCCCTTTCGCTTACCGTAGCCATGGCGCTCGAGCCACCTGTCGACATGGTTCGCGCACTGTATGTGAGGCGCCTCTCGCAACTACACCAAAGAAGCGAGCAAGGAGCGCAACCTTGAAGAGGCGAGAACGATCGCAGCGCCACCGTCGGCTCGACGCGCACACTGATGTGATGTCGCTCAGCGTGAGTGAGGGCAGTGGGCCAGGCCAGGGTGAGAGAGCGGCGCAAGGTGGGTTCGTACCTCGAGTAGGTTGGTCACCTTGCCGATGGGAGGCGAGGCCAACACTTCTTCGAGACTTCGCACCCTGTGACCCACAGTACAGTCAGTCACCCACTGGTGGCCACAGGTCGGCACCAAAAGGTGAGCGGGGGAAAGGTGACCCACCTTTGGGTGACGGCGTAGGGGTGCCTCGCGGCCTGCATGCTCATGAGCACCGAGCACATAGCCAACTGCTCTCGCGTGACGCCATACGTTCTCATTTGCCTGCGTGCGTATTGTCATGTGTGGTGTGAGCGTGAGCGGTGGTGCGTGCGTGCGTGCGTGCGTGCGACTCGAGGAATGCATACCACTGTGCGATCCTGTCGTAGCCGTTAGGGATGACCGGACTCTGCAGCTCGCCATCGGGATCTTGACAAGTCTAGAACACAGCACGAGAAAAACAACAACGCGTTGTCACCAGTAGTTTAGAGAGGGAGAGAGGGCGAGGCGCCACCGAACCTGGTCTGCCCTACGAAGGAACTCTTCCTTGGAGAGGGAGCACACGGCGTCGCCGGCCACCACTGCCACCGTCTCGCACCAGTCCATCTTGATCATACGCGCTGCCTCCAGCAAGCCGGTCACAGGCCCAGCGCTGGAGTGGAGTTATCGTGTCAGCTCTGCTTCTTCTTCTTCTTCTTCAACTGCACGCAGGGTAGAGGAGTACTTCACCCGCCAGTGTCGATGGTTCGCACGATGACGTCGCGTTCCTTGTTGGGCAAGAGGCCCATCTGCGTGCCCAGGAAGTGCGCTTCCATCTGACAGCATGGCAGGCACGACGGCCGTGAACACGAGAGTGCATAACGCGCGTTGCAGAGGGTTGCGTACAAAGTGGGGATCGGCCAGAGAGGGGATGGCAACGAGTCCGTCCAGCTGCCGTAGCGTCATCCCCGCATCGCCCAGCGCGAGCTCCAGCGCATTGCTGTGTTGAGGAATGGAATCGAAAATGTAAAAGAAAACGCAAATGTGCACAAACAAATGATGAAAGGCAATATACCGCATGAGCATGGAGGGCTTCTTGTTGTGTTTGCCGAGGGGCGTCATGCCGACTCCAACGATGCGGGCCACCTTGGGTCCTCTCATCTTGTCAGCTGGGGGAAATCTCTAAAACGAAAAACGAGAAAAGAGAAACAAACTTCATTAGAATAATCTGAACAAAACAACCGAGCACACAACAAATGGAAGAGATCAAGCAGGAGAGCTCGATGGGGCGAAGGGGCTCGAGCGGCGGCAGGCGAGACGATGTGGGGTTCTCTGATGGCGAGCTAGAGAAATTCGATGAGGCGCTGGAGGCGGCGTCCGATTCATCGAAGCCCGATGTACAGAAGAAATGGTCCATCCCTGCCGGCGTGGATCCCGAGGGCGGCCACTTCCTTTCCTCTGGCTACACTTTTTGGTTCGTTCGTCGTTCGGGAGCCCGTAGCCAGGAGAACTACGCCAACGCCATCAAGAGAATTGGTGGCTTTAGATCGGTACCCCCCCCCGCCATCGTAAAAGGCTAAATTGTTGGGCCAACAATACGGCCGTAATTTTAATTTTCATGATCTGTCTGCCTGCACCTGTGGTTACTTGCTAGATTGAGGGCTTCTGGAAATACTACAACCACCTCGTGCGGCCGCACGATCTGCCCAACACATCAGATTACCATTTGTTCAAGGAGGGCATCAAGCCCATGTGGGAGGTACCCTCCTCGCTTCCCCCTCGCGATTTTTCTCGATCTTAATCCTGCTGCATGCGAAATCGCGGTGCTGCACGCTCAGGACGACGCAAACAAGCGAGGCGGCAAGTGGATCATCCGCTTGAAGAAGGGCCTGGCCACGAAGTACTGGGAAGATCTGGTGCGCACCTCCATCCTCGCCTCCACACCTCTCGTTGCAACGGTCCTCTTGCCTGCCGATCGCGCTCACTGCTTTCGGTGGTACGTGCTGTGCAGCTGCTGGCGATCGTGGGGGAGCAATTCCAGGTGGGTGACGAGATCTGCGGCATCGTCTGCTCGATCCGGTTTAACGAGGATATCCTCTCTGTGTGGAACAAGAGCGCCGACAACAAGCAGGCCAGGCTCAAGATTCAGTACGTGCTCTTTCTTGGCTTCGTGTGCTGCTGCGTGGACTAGCCCTACACTTAACTGATGCAACCTCACTACCAACACAACAGCGAAACACTCAAAACGGTGCTCAACCTGCCACCCAACACGCCAATGGAGTACAAGTGCCACGACGACTCGATCAGGGACAACTCCTCCTTCCGCAACACCGACATCTACAGATGACCCCGAGGCCTCCACAATCAACGCACACAAACACAGGTTCTGCCAGTTCGCTTGGGTGAATACGCCTGTACATGATCAGGGGCTCGATCTCCTCCCTGCTCTCGTTCGGACTCTTCGCTTGGCGCAGCTATAAACTGACCGTTCCACCGAAAGCTCTGAGCTCCGTGTCCCCAGCTTTCACTCGATCACTTGAGATCTAATGCCGTGGCCACCAACTCACGTCGCTCACTCCTTTGGCATTTGCCCTAAGTGCGACAGGCCACCAAGGTCGGAGTCTGTCATCTCTTCCGTTTCCGTTTCTCGCCCATACTGCGCCAGTATCTCCCCCCAGAACGCTCTCTGTGCTCCGGTGATGATGATGGTCACCACTACTCATGCTCTACTGCGCGTAGCACACCACACGCAGCACCACAGTCCTAACGCAGCCCTCCGCCCGCAGCCGCCTTGCGCTCGACGGTCAATGGGCTCCAGGGGACCGGCGCTGGGGCATGTGTCGTGGGAGTCTGGCTCCTGTTCTCCCCGTGGTGCCACGCAGACACCACCCTTACGGCAGGCGCGTCCCAAAGGCTGTCGACTACAGCGAGTGTTACCCAATACAAGTTTTTGCCCGATTGGACATCGGGGTAATTTGGCTGGAGCTGGTTGGAGGAACTGAAGTAGCCTTAGGGAAATTTCATGATGTGTAGACACCGGTCCCACTGCGGCGGAAAGCTGGAAACGGGAACGGCACGCGCCTTGGTGGTTCCTCCTCTTCGCGGGCCAGCCTTCTCCATTTCGTTGTATTCCCACCACCCGCACCACACCACACACCTCTACCTCCCCTCCACAGGCCACACCCACTCTCTTCCTCTTTCCCAAGTAGGAAAGAGAACCAGAACACCGTGAACAGGCGCATCACCACACCACTACTTGTACCAGGTACCGCTTCAGAAAGATGGTCGGTCTTGTTACGTCGGGCAATAGGGCACTTACGTTATCAATTGTGTGCGCGGTGTCTTGGTGTGCAGCTTTTGGAGTCATGTCGTTCAGCAACAAGGTCGAGATGCTGCTCCACCACGCCAACAACACCACAGAGCGCGCCCTGCCGTTGACGCCACCCGCCCAGTTGGACTCGCCGCCGTCTTCATCTCCATCTTCTTCGCCCAACTGCCCGGCATCACCTTCTTCTTCCGGCTCCGCCACGGAGGCCGCCAACACCTTCGTCGCTGCCTCCACCATCCAGAACGATTCGTACGTCTCTTTCCCTCCCGTTCTTCCTTCTCGAAGAAGGGCTTCCTCCTTTCTCGCAACGGCGGCTGCTCCGGCCGAACGGAGGGTGCCGTAGCTGGCCAGGTTGCGCTGAGCTTGGCGAGAGTTCCTCGGCACTTTCTGTACCGCACGACTTCTGTTCCCGGCCGACTTCTGGTTCCGCAGTTCGACACAAATTCTAGTCGACAACATGCGAAATTTCTCATGAAATATCGGTTTTAGGAAAGTCGTTCGATGAGGCACGCGCTGTGCCTGTTAGGCAAGGCGTGTGCTTTTTAGTTATTCTTTGAATAGTGATATGCGATTGTATGGACAGTTACCAAGCGTGGAGATATTACCTGTTTCTCACCTGGGCTTTCTTGGCGCAACAGGTTCCAGGTCAGCATCACGACGCAGCCACCGTTGAAGACGGTCTACCAGCGCATTCTCAAGCCGTTCCCGACCGTCACGCTCACCGTGGCGGCCCCGCCCAAGAACCACAAGTCGAGCCGACGACGAAGCCGAAGCAGCCCGCTCTCCGACGACGAAGGCGATGACGCCGACGGCAACAACGTCGCGCCCAAGGCCGAAGGCGAGCTCGAGCTAGGCTGCGCCGACGTGCTGGGTACTTGACACTTCTTCGCTCCGAGCCTGCTCGCTTTGGCCAACCATCTCACCTTGCGCGCTCTTGCTCTCCTCCAATTGCAGAGACCCTTCTGGCCAACAGCTCGAACAGCTCGTCCAATGGGCTCTTCGTCGAGGCCACGCTGCTGCGCGGAGACAATGGCGAGCCGATCTCCAAGTGCCTCGACGGCAACTCCATCGTGCGCTTCGAGGTGCGTCTCATCTCCACCATTCTCTCTTTTGTCTCTGCGTAATCATGTTCATGTTAACACCCACTTTGATGTTTTGTTTACCTCCGGTGTGCAGAAAAACCCCTGGTCCGAAGGCGTGTACACGGCCACGTTCAAGAAGCTGAAGATCTTGTCTACGTCGCAGCAGCTGCAGGGCATCCTCTTCCGCCTCAAGTTCACCCTCAAGAAGTACGCCGGCAGCAACTTCACCCCGATCGCCGTGCCCCACTGCGAGGTCGTGTCGCACCCGGTCGAGGTCTTCTCCCACTCCCAGTACCTCAACAAGAAGGCGCCCAAACGTACGGCCGTTATACTATTTCTACGACTATGTATATTTAAACCTTGCGTTAACACTCAACATTCTCTTCGTTACATAGCAGCGGGCACGAGCAGCGCGAACACCAGGAAGGAGTTCAAGGACATCGTGAAGAAGATGGACGGCAAGAAGGTCCAGGGCGCGCTCTTCAGCGTGCTCCAGGCCTTCAAGGACCAGGGCGGCTCCCGGTCCTCCGTGCTCGACGTCGTGCAGCAGGTCTACGGCGGCGACGACAACAGCGACGCCAAGGCGCGCGGGCCTTCGCGCAGGATGAGCGCCCCGTCGTCGACATCTCAGTCCTACGTCAACCCGCACCAGCCACAACTGGTCATGACGGCCCCGGCCCTGTCCCTGGCGGCGCCGACCACCACCGGCGCCCTTGGAGACGCGGGCATCACCGCATCGGCTGTGGAGGCCCAGTTCCTCAACGAGCTCCTGGGCAAGCTCCAGATCGGCGCGATCTCGCTCGACGACTTCGTCAACCACCTGATCCAGGGCCTGGGCCAGTCGCGCGCCGGCCAGCTGTTGGCCCAGATGGGGCTCGGCGTCAACATCGAGGCCCCGGCCGCCGTTCCGTCGCTCGCCGGCTTCCCCTCTGCCGCAGTGCTGCCCTCGTTTCCCAGCAACAGCGCGCTCGACTCCTCCAACTCGCTCGCGGCCATTCTCAACGCGCTGGCCCACCAGCAGACCCAGCTCGCCCAGCTCCAGGCCGTGCAGCAGAGCCAGCAGCTCAACAGCGTCAACCCGTTCCTCCACCAGCAGCTCCACCATCAGCAGCAGCAGGCCCAGCTCCATCAGCAGCTCGCAGCCGCGGCCGCAGCGTCGTCGGTACCGGTTATGCCCAAGCCGCGCCGGCTCAGCAGTCCGCAGGTGGCGTCTGCCTTCTCGCCCACCTCGACCTCGACCACCTCCACATCGTCGTCATCGCCGCCGGCCACCGCCGGAAACAGCGGCGGATCGCTGCTGCACGCGCTCCCCTCGGTCTCGCTGCCGTCGTCGGCGGTCACCACCCCGTCGTCGGCCTCGTCGTCCCTCTCTACGCTCGCCGACGCCATCTCGTCGCACCTCCACATGCAGCCGCAGCCGCAGACCACCTCCACCCCCTCGTCCTGCTCGACGCCGATCACGACGACCCAGACCACTCCGCTCCTCCCCCTCTTGCCGTCGCTCGTGGACCACATGAACTCTTTCTCGTCGTCGGCCGCGTCGACCAGCGTCGTCCTGCCACCGATCGCGTCCACCCTCGCCGCCGCGTCATCGTCGTCGGCCGGACCCTTGCCTTCGCTCTTCTCCCTCTGCTCGCTGGCGTCGGCCATCGACAGCTCTGCGGCCGCCGCGCCCGCGCCCGACCAGTCTTCGTCACGCGGACACAAGCGAAGCTTCGAGGCCATCGACGTCTCGCCCGCCGCGGGCGCATCACCCTCGGCCGCGCCGCCCTCGCCCAACAAGACTGCCAAGCGCGAAGGCGACTCGTCGGCTTCGTCGGCGTCGGCAAGCGAGGAGAAGATGCAGTGGTACTGGAAGAACAACTCGACGTGGGAGCCCTATGCCGAGGGCGTCTCGGCGCAGCTCGAGCGCGCGCACAAGAACCAGACGACGTGCATCCTGGTCCTGCACGACGTGCCCTACAAGATGGACTTCCAGTCCATGACCCAGCAACGCACCGACAACCCCAAGAGGTACCCACTCCGACGACACACCATACCATACGACACACACACGACGCACATCGAAGAGAGAACTAACTTTGCTCGGGCTTTGAATCTGTTGATCAACAGGTGGAAGCACATCAGGAGGGGAGAGGAGAACTGAACGCCTCATCGATCTTGTCGATCGATTGTAATTGTACACACGCCTGTATACGACGACGACGACGACGACGGGGACGACATTCATCACCATCATCATCATCTTCTTCCAACAACGCCATCAACACGACCACGACGACACCTGCAGCAGAGCGCTCAAAGGCGGAGGAGTGCGAACGAGGACCCCGCCTGTGGAGGAGCGGGACGGACATAGGAAAAACCTTGCGACTTGTCCGTCCCGCTCGGGCGGCCCGACTTCGACTTCTTCCTCCGTTGCCATCGAAGAGGCTGTTTGTGTGAAGTTGTCATATAAATATAAATATAACTATAACTTTGTAAGCCAGCCCAATCACCACTCGACGCACAATCAACACAACCAACACTCGCTCTTCTTCGGCCGAAGTGCTGTTTTGGTGATCGTCGACAACATCGGCCTTCGGCAAAAGGGAGGGTGAAGTGAAGAGAGGAAGAGGGAGAGAGGGTTAGAGGAAGAAGAGGAGTCGGAGGACGAAGAACCAGCGAAGGAAGAAGAGGAAGAGGCGGAGTGGTGCCGGCAGAGGCATGTAGTCGGACAAGTGTCGGAACGTGGCGTCCTGTGGAATCAAACAAACGATAAGAGAACGAAATGATGCAACATTCATCAAAAAGGAAACGAATGAAGGGATGAAGGGAACGCACGTCGATGATGTGGTAGGATTCGGGGATGGGATCGAAGGTCTGGCGGTAGATCTTGTCGCCACCGCACACGACGTAGATTTCATCGCCTTTAGCAATCGGATAAGACTGCACGGCCTCGATCATCGCGTAATCGGCCGCATTCTTGCCCGTTGGCTCGATGGGGTGATGTGTCATCCATTTTCTGTTTCCGGGCAGGCCCGTCGGCGGTCCATCCGAGCGGTAGAAGATGTGCACATGAAACAGTTCGCCGGAGCCCTCAGCCGGCTGCTCGGCTCGCTGGTAGTATGTGTCCACCTTCGAGATGGATTTTTTGATGAAATTCTGGCATTTGTTTTCGAAATCGACAAAGAAGACCCTCGTCATCTTCAAGATTGTCCTCCGGCAGCTGCAGAAGAGATGAGAAAAAACAAAAATAAATTCCCTAAAAAAAGATAAAACCAGATTTATAAATCAATAAATAAGTAGGATGCAACGAGCAGCGAGCAGGCCGTTCGTGTGTCGTAGCTTTGTGGTGCACCACGACCGTTGCGGGCTCAAGGTGGGCACCGACACCATCTACTTCGCCGCCTACGCCGCCCAGTCACACGTATGATGCCCGCTCTTTACGCTGCTTCTGCGTGTCGTCCCCCCCCCAACCAATGCGTCTTATGTGCGGTGGTGTCGTGCTCTGACCCGTGTGCTGTCAGTGGTTCGGTTCGGGGCAACCGCGATCGGCGCTGGACATTGGGTCGGGAACGGGCCTGCTCTCCCTCATCCTCTCGCACCGCTTGCCCTCGGTACGGTACACCGCCCGCGTCAGTTCGCCACCAGGTGGCGCCACGATCAGCTGATCGGACGGAGGCGCCCGACACCAGCTCGAGTTGGTTCACGGGGTGGAGCTTGACGCCGATGCGTACGAGCAGACCGCGGGCAACTACGACCTCTCGCCATGGCGAGGCAAGATGCGGGCCTTCCACACCTCCTTCCAGGACTACGCCCGAACATTCACACAACCGGAGAACGAAGAAGGTGCACTCGCGCTGTGGCGCTATCATGACGTGAT